ATATATATATATATATATATATATATATAGCTAATTATATATTAGCTATATATATATATAGAGAGAGAGAGATAATTAATTATTAACATTTTAGCTTTAGATGAATGAGGAACGATATATTAAATTTGTATAAATTAACCTTTTTTCTTGTTCTCTTCTGAGAGCTTCACGATTTTCTTCTTCAATCCGTTCAACTTCACGCATTTGAGCTTCTCGTCTTTGCATTTCTAACAATTCTTCTTCCATTCTAAAATACAATAGCAAATTGAATATAACTTTTATGTAATTACAAAATTCAAAACATTAGTGAACAGTAATCAATTTTATTGAATATTTTTAAATTATTATATCAATAAATAAAATCAATAAAGATTCAGAAAACTTCTATAATCTTTGAAAGAATATAAAAGCTTTCAAAAATGGACGCACGTACCTTATCAGTTCTTGCTTTTCACGAGCAATACGTTCTTGCTCTCGACGTTGCTTTTCAACTTCTTCTAGTGCTTGCTTTTCTTTTTCACGTTCTTGTTTTTCACGTTCTAAACGCTCGCGTTTAATACGTTCAATTCGTTCAATTTCTAATCGCTCTGTTTCAATTCTTTCACGTTCTAATCGTTCACGTTCTAAGCGTTCTCTTTCTGCCTTTTCTCGTGCCATTCGTTCACATTCCCGTTCTCTACGCTCCTGTTCTAAACGCTCGCGTTCACGTCGTTCTGCTTCAAACCTTAAATTCATCTTTCATCCTTGTTTAACAATAAACCGTTTCAAATTAATTATATATTAATAAAATGACAGTATTGCGTAATCAGAAAAGTAATTTTCGTCATTGCAATTTTGATATATTTTTTGAAACCTTTCTCGTTCTAGTCGACTTTTTTCCATCTCACGCCATTTTTCCAATTCACGTTCTTCGTATTCTCGACGATTACGTTCAGAGCGTTCCCATTCAGCTCGTCTTTGCATTTCTTCATTTTCCCGTGCTGCACGTTCACGATCCAAACGTTGTTTTTCCAGTCGCTCACGTTCCATGCGTTCGCTTTCTAATTCTTGTTGCTGGAAAATAAAATTATATACATAATGAATCATGAGGCTTGATTATTCACTTGGCACTGCTGAGAAGCAAACCTTTATTTCAAGTTCACGCCGCTTACGTTCTAAATATTCACGTTCTTTTATCTCCCATAACCGTCGTTCTTCTGCAGCTCGTTTTCTTCGTGCTTCTTCTTCACGTTGCCTTTCTTCTTGGTCTTTTTTAATTCGACGTTCTTCTTCTTCCAAACTTCTTCAAAGTTTTCAAATATTTATTTGTGCTTTCCAAATAACAGGAGCAGTTACAACAAAATAGTAAATTATGACCAAAGGCAGAAAAAGTACCCAAAATTTTGCTTGACTTCGAAGTCAATTTATTACTTCATTACGTTTTAAGCATTACATTGTTAACACAATCTTTCCTATTACTATTATTAGTAATGTTAAAAATCATTGTGTTCTTCAACTTGCTTGTGATAATTCTCTTCATGATACTACAATAATAGCTTAATGATACTTGTCAATTAATATAAACAATCTTATAATATTTATTACTAGTAATTAAAACTGAATTACTTAAAGATTATTGACTAGATCACTGTTGTAAACAGTTAATCACTAGTAGTTGTTTATTTACCTCATGTATTTATAATTATAGTCAACAGAACGTTCATCTTTTGGATAATACTTATTCTCAGTAGAAGAATATCGTTCACGTTCAAGAATTGGTGAAGAACGTGAAAGTGGTGGAGCAGAAAGAGTTTCAGTAGAACGTGTGATATACGTCCTTGTTCGTATTTCTTTGCGATAATACTCTTCCTGATGGTAATCACCGTAGGGTATGCTTGATATGTGATAATCTACAGCTGCTGGCGCTGTTAACGTTGAGGAAGGCATGGAAGCTGAAGTAGTATTAGTACGCTGCACAGGAATTTCACGTACTGTTGTTGATCGTGATCTAGCTTCTAAAAGTGATCATTATAAAATTGGTTTCAACAATAATTATAAAACTAATTCTAATATAATTGAGATTAAGGCTCTGATTTTATAGCAAATATAATGATCTGACCGTATTTACTGATAAGATTAGCCAGCATAATTTCCATCCAAATGTTTTGACTGATTTAATAAAGTGATATATTCGGTTCAAATTAATTACTCAACTTATTCTTATTTTTTCAAATTGAAAATTAGCCCAAGGACTTAAGAGTTGATTTGCTGGAAAATACAAATGTATTTCTACTTACTTTTTAATCTATCATTTATTTATTTATTTAGTTCATTAGTTAGTTTAGTTATTTACCCATAAATTTATTGCTCGTGTTTGTCTGATGGTTTTTTTAGACAAATATTATGCTATTTGTGATGATTAATCTGATAAGTGATAAGTAAGTAAAGCATTATTAAGTCCACCAATTCATTCTCATTACTTGCCTCGAAATTATTATAACTTTGATCTTTCTGCCAGAATGAAAAATTATAACTTTGATCTTTCTGCCAGAATGGCACACATCTTTCTATCTCTTTTTTTGTTTTTTCGTAATTTCAGTTTTCTACTTATTAATTGCTAATTATGGAGCTTAGAACAGAGTGGTTTAGCATAAGAAAAATTAGTTTGCGACTTTTACTTACTGTAATTTTTAGAAATGAAAGTTAGTGAAATATAAGGAAACACCAAACATTAAAAATAAATAAAATTGAAACGAACCGGATCGTTGACTATTGATTTCGTCGTCACGCGACATGTCGCAATCACGTCGCTCCGCTGCGAAATTCTGAAACGTTTGTGAATATATTTGAATATAATTTTTTTTTTTGGTTGATTCTATCAATTAATATGTCTTAATTAAAGCAAAATGCAATTCATTTTTTTTGCTTCAAAATAAAAATTGACAAAATAAGACTGATGAATAAATAGTTTAAACCTATCACGACAAAGCTAATATGGAATTCAAATAAAAAAAGACAGAAAATATGCTCTGAACAACAAAAAATTTATTAAAAACAAAGGTGGTGATGAAAAAATTACAAAAAAATATTGCAAAAATAACATACAATAATGATTTTTATGAACCAAACAATTGCAAATTGTGAGGGAGTAGAATTACTTGAAATCACAATTTTATAATTATTTAATCGTTATTATTCTGACAAACGATTAATTAATTATAAATTAATATCATAATTATTTTGTTATAAAAATATTACTACTGACAGTTAGAATTAAAACGACGTAAAAAGTTTAAAATTATGCTTCTTTTTTATATTGTCAGAAGACTCCATACAAAACACTAAAAAATTAGTACGTGACGGATACGATTCAAATATCAAATACGAATTCCAAAACTGGAGAATCTTTTTTTATTATTGTATTTCTAACACTTCAATATTTTACTAATTTTATAGATAACCTTGAAATATCGCAAATTCTTTATGCCTTAAAAGTAGTTATGATTTTCGAATTTGTCATTCAAGAAAGTAATTAACTTTAATGTGTCTTTCGCTAATCACAAAAATTTTTCATCTTACATTTTCGATAGTTTTTATCTTTTACAAATTATAAATGCAAATAATTCGCAAATTAAAAAATGTTTCAATTTTATAGTAAAGTAAACTGAAAGAATGAATAAAAATTCGTAAA